AGGAAGGGAGGTGGGGATGGGGCTCACCAAAAGGACTGCTCCTTTGTCCTAGGCAACCAAGGATGCAACCTGGACACAAAGGGAAGAGGAAGGCAGCTTTCCCTGCCCCCACTCCAGCCGGAGCAAGATTAGCCCCAAAAGAAGCGGAGTGATGAAGGCAGAGGGCCGGCTTAGCTAGGGCAGGATGGACGCAGTCTGAGAACACCGGGGCTGCACCCTGACCTGGCGCTCTGACCGCACCTCCGACTTAAAGCAGGAAGATGCCCACAGTGCAAACGAGTTACCTGCCAAAGGCTTCCACCATTGTGCAGCGGGGCTGTAACATCTTGGTCCTGATGTCGTTGGTAATGTTCTTCCTCTCCTTGAAGTACCGGCATGAGCCCTGGATGCCATCTTTATTCTCTAAGATCATGTGAATGGGATAGACATCCTCCAGAGGAACCGGGTCCCTCCTGGACTCCACAATACCCGTTTCCAAATCAATTTCTTCATACCTAAGGGGTGGGGGGTGGGGAAGTGCACAAACATCGAACCACAGCTCAGCCTCAGAAGTAACACGTGCTGGCTGAGTTCTGACAAGCTCTGGCTGAGGTTGGGGAGAGGGAGTAAGAGCCCCTGGTCTCCCTGCCTTCCTAACGCAGGATGTCTTGACAAGCACTGTCCCTGAGTCTCCATCCCAGACAACACAGATCTTCCCAGGAGCCTCCACGTTCACCCCCGAGGATGAATGCTGAAATCAGAACCACCTTCCTGGCCCCACCACCTTCCTTGCCTTTCATTTTCCCTGCAAATCCTGTGCTTGGTTTCCAAACCATCAAGTTTGGACTTAATGACTCAAGGCTTCCCTACCTAGAGATGTCACCTTTCCATCTCTTTAACTACCCCTCTTCTACTTTCACCCATTTTTATGGTTTTCAATTATCACTTGGCATGTTAACAATTCTCACCATCAAATCCTCAGCCCTGTTTCTTACCCCCAAACACTAATCCTGTTTTCAACTGTCATGTTTGATGAGAAAACCAAAGTTATGACTGCCACTTCCCACCTCCAACAAAGCCCCTCCTTGGTACCATTTTCTCCCAGTGGCCTCTCATCAACACCATGGAGACATCTTGAGTTTTCCATCTTTTACCCAGTCAGCTCCGTTTGTCAAGTTTTCTTTTGGAATCCTGCTCACATCCCGCACCTGTCACATCCCATCTACATTTGTCAGTGCTTTTCCTTCTTGCCCTCTCTGTAACCTCTGCACTACTTAACCCTCCATTCTCAAATCACATCTTCTCAATTCAGGCCATTCTGGCCTGCTGTCCTCTGGCTCTCCAGCCACATCTTCCCAGGCTTCTTTTGAAGGCTCCTGGGCCTTCATCCACCCCAGGGCCAGGTCTTAAGGCTTCCAACCACACTACACTCTCTCCCAGGGAGGGTCCTGGCCAAGAGCTTCCATTGCCAATCACACGGGTGACTCCACGTGCCCAGGTCAGTCCCTCTCTCTGACCTGCTGACCCTCCCACAAAGCTAGATGTTGACCAACCAGAATCTCCACTTGACAACCCACAGTAACCTTGAACCCAGTGTGTTTCAAGGTACGTTCAGGACATTCCCCAACTCCCTCCCTGCTGCACTTCTGTGGGCCCCATCACAGCTGGTCCCCATCACAGTGAAGGGTAGCAGTCATCAGTTTTAACAGGGAAGAGCAAAACCTGGATCTGTTTCTTTTATTTAACCTTTTCCGTTTGTTGCTTTTGTTAATATAATCACTAAAAGGATGCTGTCAATGGCTGTAAGCAAACAATGGCCTGCCTCAGGAAAACCTGCCCCCTGACCTGCCCCCCACCCCACCCCCAATCTGCCCTAACGGTCAGGGACGCATTCTGACCCTGCCCACCTGTCAATGGCTGCAGAAAAGAAGAAATTAGCACATCCTCTTCCTCTGCTGGCCCAGCCAAGAGATATTCTGCAAGATTCCAGTATTCTTGCCTGGAAAATCCCAGGGATAGAGGGGCCTGGCAGGTTACAGTCCATGGGGTCACAGAGTCAGACATGACTTAGCAGCTAAACAACTACTTCTCATGCTGGCCCAACCAAAAGATATTCTGCAAGACTAATGGCCTTTCAGGGGCTTCCCACATGGCTCGGAGGTAAAGAATCCGACAGCCAAGCAGGAAACACAGGTTCAGTCTCTGGGTTGGAAAGATGCCCTGGAGGAGGAAATGGCAACCCACTCTTGCCTGGGAAATCCCATGGACTGAGGGGCCTGGTGGGCTATAGTCCATGGAGTCGCAAAAGAGTTGGACACGACTTGGTGGACAGCAACAACAACATGGCCTTTTAACTTTTTTGCCTCACCTCTTCCACCCTCAACTGAAACTGGCATTCAGACCCCCATAAGATGGTACTCAAGGGCGCTAGCCTGCCATCTTCATGGATGCTCAGTTTTCTGAATAAAGTCGCTATTTCTTGCCTCAATATCTTGCCTCCCGATTATTGGCCTTTCGTACACTGTGGTACTAAAGAAGACTCTTGAGAGTCCCTTGGACTACAAGGAGATCAAACCAGTCAATCCTAAAGGAGATCAGTCCTGAATATTCACTGGAAGGACTGATGCTGAAGCTGAAACTCCAATACTTTGGTCACCTGATGCAAAGAGCTGACTCAATGGAAAAGACCCTGATGCTGGGAAAGACTGAAGGCAGGATGAGATGGTTGGATTCCATCACTGACTCAATGGACGTGAGTTTGAGCAAACTTCGGGAGATAGTGAAGGACAGGGAAGCCTGGTGTACTGCAGTCCGCGGGGTCACAGAGAGTCAGACATCACTCAGATGCCCAAAAGTCAGAAACCGGATGGCATCATCCTCCAGACCTACTTTTCTTTATACTCCACACCCAACCAGTCACCAAATCCTCCAGATTCTTCTGCCTCATGTCTGATTCCATCAGCTTTTTCTCTTCATTCTCACACCCACCATGGAAAGCCAAACCTTGACTGCTGGTTCGTGAGTGGATTACTACAGATCTCTCAACTTCATTCTTTGCCCCTAGTCTGACCCTCCCTTTGGTGCTTTAGGCTTTAAATGGATTAGTCCAGTCCAATTGGTAAGGGCAGGCTGGATTCTGAACCAAGACTTCCTGGATTCAGCTTCTGGGTTCTGCCCCTGCTAGTGGATGACTCTCTCTGTGTCTCAACCTTCTTTCTCTTGAGGGAGGTGGGGATAAGAATATTCAACTTTGTTTTAAAATTAAATAACTTAGTATATTTAAGAATCTTAGAACAGTCCCTGCTTACAATAACCATATACATAAATGTCAACTATTATTTCTCATTCACTACTTTCAGTTCTATACTTCACCCAAACTTATTTCTCTTTCTTTAGAAAAATTCTGCCAACTGGCTACCTAAATCCAACCTTTAAGTCTTGTTTTACACAGTATTCCCTCTGGAAACCTCTCGTGATCCTCAAAACAAAAAGAAAAAAAAGCCCACAGCTTTGGGAAATGACTTAACACCCAGTCATTTAACAACGTCCTTAACTTTGGGTGGGTGACTTAATTTCTCTCCATCACTCAGTTTCCTCCACTGCAAAACGGGGAAGATAGCTGGGAATTCCCTAGCAGTCCAGTGGTTAGGACTCAGTGCTGGATGGGGAACTAAGATCCCGCAAGCCACACGCTGGAGCCAAAAAATTTAAAAAAAAAAAAATGGGGAAGAAAAGAGAACCTTCCTCATAGGGTCACTGCAAGAATAAAGTGGGTTCAATCTCCTGAAACAACAGGAACAAGATATTGCCTAGTACCAAGTTATGTGTTTGTGCTCAGTCATGTCTGACTCTTTTGTGACCCCATGGACTGTAGGCCACCAAGCTCCTCTGTCCACGGAATTTTCCAGGCAAGAAGACTGGAGCGGGTTGCCATTTCCTTCTCCAGGGGATCTTCCTGACTCAGGATCAAACCTGCGTGGCCTGCTTGGCAGGGGGATTCTTCACCACTGCACCACCTGGGAATCCCACAGCACCAAGTCATAATGAGCAATAAATAAGCGTTAACTATCATTATTGTTGTTGCTGGCGTTGCTAAACTTGCTCTCTAATCTAGCACTGAATGAATGCCCCATAAAGGTCTGTTGATTTCAACTGGTCTCCAATCTTGATCTGAACAGCCCTACTGCTTCAATCCTAAGCTCCACTTCAAAGAAAATACTCTTTAAAACCCAAAGCATATCCTCCCAGTTCTGCTCACCATCACCCCAAACACACAAACACACACGAACATAATGGAACATCACAAGGCGACCCTCCAACTCCATCAGACGCCTGGGCCCCGCCAGGCCGAAGACCCCCCCCCCCCCCAATCAGCCTTACTCTGCGCCCCCCCCATCAGGCTCCGGGTCTTCCTTCCGCTCCACTCCTTTCTCTCTCCTCTCGCAAGAACCTGGCCGCCTCCCAGCTCCACCAGACCCCGAGCTCTGCCCTCTCCCGCCCGCAGGGCCAGGCCGCTGACCGGTCTTGGAGCTGGAGGTCTGGTCGTTCCCGAGGCTCCTCGTAGAAGCTGATGCCTGGGTTCGTGGCAAGGGCCCGCCACAGAAACTCCTGCGTGTAGGGCTCCAAAGGGAGCGGGAAGGGTGGCACTCGCGTCTCCAGACGGCTCCAAAGCGCGGGAAGACACAGGCCATCAAGCCCCTCCAGGGCCACTTCGTCCAACAACGACTCCAGCGCGTCCATTGCTACTTCAGTTAGCTGCACCCTGGGCGCCTGCGTACCACGCCGCCAAGGGCCCCGGTCCAGAGCGCCTGCGCACAGCGACTGGCAGCCAGGGAGGCGGGGCGGACCCGGGAACCGGAGGAGGAGTTCCAGACCGAGATCGTAACGTCACTCCCTTTGGGGGCGGGTTCATTCCGTGGAGCTCCACCGCTATTGGTCCGGAACCCCGCAGTAACCAGGGGAACTGCAAACAGTGTAGAGGCCGCTTCCGGTTCGAGCTCCCGGAACCGCCGCCTCTAGGGATGGACGGTGAGTATCCGTGGGCCCCTCCGGGAGGTCGGGCAGTTACTCTCCCATTCCTCCTGCGGGCCCTCCGGGCAGAATCCTAGGCCACAGACCCCTGGACCGTCACTGCCTGACCCAAGGGAGTCGCCGTCGGAGGGAAAGGGAACCTAAGTGGTCCGGGATGGGAAGAGGAGGCTGGGGGGAGTGGTCGGTGATTTGGTCACTGTGCTGCCTGTGGTTGTGTTGGGACCCGGTACTGGCCGGGGCATCAGAGAAGGGGTTTAAGGTGGGGAAAAAAATAGAGGTCTGAGGGGGTGGGTCTTGTGTGTCATGGGTGTGGAACTATGGAATGTAGGAGTTAATGGGGGTAGGCTTTTACAAGGGTAGTGCAATCATCAGCTACTGGGGATGGGAGTTGGGGGGGACTAGGGAATACTGTCTGTGCTTTGATGTTAATGATACTGTTCCGTGCCAAGAACTCTGTAAATGCTGTCAAGTAGCTCGATAAGCTTCCTAAATTTTTTGAGTGTTATCCCATTTTACAAATGAGGACACCGGCTCAGAGAAGTTGAAGTATCTTGCCCCAAATCAAAGTCATCAACTGGCACAGTGAGAAAGGGACCCAGGCACTGGCTCTGGAGTTGAATTAGGGAGTTAAAGATATGGAAGGAATTTTAGAAGCCTTTCATTCCAGAAGTTGCAAATACAGATACTTGCAGGGGCAAGTCTAATGGGCTGGATTGGGCTGTGATTAAAAGTCAATTTCTTTTCTGAAAGAGAAGCTTCTCACTCAGCTCAAAGCACTTATTTTCCTGGGGGGTGCTTCTCAAAATGCTGTGATGGCTAATCATTCTGAAGGCCAGATGCAGCCTGTGGGCCATCATTTGGGGATTCTCAATAAGAATCATGGCTTCCCTGGTGGCTCAGATGGTAAAGAATCTGCCAGCAATGCAGGAGACCGAGTTCTATTCCTTGATCAGGAAGATCCCCTGGAGTAGGAAATGGCAACCCACTCCAGTATTCTTGCCTGGGAAATCCCATAGACAGAGGAGCCTGGTGGGCTACAGTCCACAGGGTCACAAAGAGTCAGACGCAACTGAGCATCTAACACTTTCACTTTCAATAAGAATCATAGAATTCTATGATTCCAAATATCTACCCTGATATCTCATTTTATAAACGGGAAGACTAAAGTCTAGAGAGACTGGTAGAGTTTACTACCAGTAGTACCTACTGGTAGACCAGTAGAGTCTAATACCAATAATTTTTCCCACTACACCACTGTCCCTCACTTCTGGGAAGTTTGTTCCTTTGTGATATCTGCCTAATACAGTGTGGAAAAAAAAATTTTAATTGAACAATCTGTTTTACGTTTAAAAGAAATCTTTGCCCTTTGGACTTCAGAGGTACTATAAAATGTCATTCACCAGTTTGCCCAGTGGAAAGATCCATGTTAATGTTGCTGCTGCTGCTGCTGCTAAGTCGCTTCAGTCGTGTCTAACTCTGTGCGACCCCATAGACGGCAGCCCACCAGGCTCCCCTGTCCCTGGGATTCTTCAGGCAAGAACACTGGAGTGGGTTGCCATTTCCTTCTCCAATGCATGAAAGTGAAAAGTGAAAGTGAAGTTGCTCAGTCATGTCCGACTCTTCGTGACCCCATGGACTGCAGCCTACCACGCTCTTCTGTCCATGGGATTTTCCAGGCAAGAATACTAGAGTGAGTTGCCATTGCCTTCTCCGGTTAATGTTGCTATGGAACATCAAAACTGAAATCTTCTTTTTACTTAGGATGCCTTTATGCTCTTACCTCAAAAGAGCTTTGTATATATTATGTCTGTGATATTGACCATATCAGAAATGAAAGTTGAGAAAATCTTACATTTATCATGTATCAGTTCATTTAAAAGTAATAATAAGTGCATTACTTCTGAACATAATACTTTTAATGAAAATAAGCTATATTTCCCACCAAAAATATCAGTAGAAAATGTGGTTTTGTTTTTCATTTTCTTAAATCTCTTTAATACCTGGTTTAATTGGAAATAGCTAGACTCATTTCTGCTTCATCAGCCAAACTATGGTGGTGTTATTTTGACTGATGTATTTGAAGAAAATGGGGCCTCACACAGACATATATGTGGGGCAGGGAATATTTTAATTGCCATTTTAGATAACATTTTAGATAACATTCTTCTTTGATACTATTCCAAAGCTTAGCAAGTGGTAATTTCTCGAAGGTTAGCCACAATGTGGCATCTGAAACCATATCGGTGAACTTCTGTACTCTGTTACATTAAAACCCATTGGTCTATCTTGCCCTTTGATTGCATATTTTACCCATGTATGATTTCATAATATTAAGCATTGGTCATTTGGAAAATGTTATTTCACTGATTTATGCAAATATTCAAATGTTGACATTGGAAATGACATGCCATTTTTGTAGTATTAAATGGCATGTCATTACACAATGTCAAAAAATTACATTCCTTTAGTATTCCTATCATATTTTTTTCTATCTATCATTTTTTTTGAAAGGAGTTTAAGTATTGGGGAACTATTAAAGTAGACTAAACAAGTTTCCTACTTATTTCCACTGGAAAGCTTAAAATTTTTCATTGGCAACAAACACCATCAGTTGTTTCCATAAAGTGACAGGCTTACTTTTTTTGTATTTAAGAAAATGTCTGCCCCACACTCATGTCTGAATAACTGTAGTTTGTCTTTTCATTGTTCACTCAAGTAAAGATGACATTTGATAAAATATTTGGCTAGTTCAGCTGGCAAATTAAATAATCATACAAGTGTTTTCTAGATCAACTGTTGTACTTTGGCTTATAGCAGAAGTGTTTGTTGTGTACCTTGCATTTTTTTCACACAGAATATTTTTAAAAAATGTGTTCTCATGGGTTCAGGTTTAATAAAATTAATTTTTCCTGTTTCATCAGTTCAGTTCAGTTAGTCGCTCAGTCATGTCCAACTCTTTGCAACCCCATGAACCACAGCACGCCAGGCCTCCTTGTCCATCACCAACTCCCAGAGTCCACCCAAACCCATGTCTATCGAGTTGGTGATGCCATCCAACCATCTCATCCTCTGTCGTCCCTTTCTCCTCCTGCCTTCAATCTTTCCCAGCATCAGGGTCTTTTCCAGTGAGTTATCTCTTCGCATCAGGTGGCCAAAGTATTGGAGTTTCAGCTTCAACATCAGTCTTTCCAATGAACACCCAGGACTGATCTCCTTTAGGATGGACCGGTTGGATCTCCTTGCAGTCCAAGGGACTCTTAGAGTCTTCTCCAACACCACAGTTCAAAAGCATCAATTCTTCGGCACTCAGCTTTCTTTATAGCCCAACTCTCACTTCCATACATGACCACTGGAAAAACCATAGCCTTGACTAGATGGACCTTTGTTGACAAAGAAATGTCTCTGCTTTTTAATATGCTATCTAGGTTGGTCATAACTTTCCTTCCAAGGAGAAAGCGTCTTTTAATTTCATGGCTGCAATCACCATCTGCAGTGATTTTGGAGCCAAGAAAAATAAAGTCAGCCACTGTTTCCACTGTTTCCCCATCTATTTTCCATGAAGTGATGGGACCGGATGCCATGATCTTAGTTTTCTGATTGTTGAGCTTTAAGCCAACTTTTTCACTCTCTTCTTTCACTTTCATCAAGAGGCTCTTTAGTTCTTCTTCACTTTCTGCCATAAGAGTGGTGTCCTCTGCATATCTGAGGTTATTGATATTTCTCCCGGCAATCTTGATTCCAGCTTGTGCTTCCTCCAGCCCAGTGTTTCTCATGATGTACTCTGCATATAAGTTAAATAAGTAGGGTGACAATATACAGGACTTCCTTAAGTGAAAATGTTTTGTTGATTGTTTTGTCATCAGTCATGGCACTAAAGAATATAATGACAACGGGTACAGTATGGTGCCAGTGCCTTGTAGCCACTCAAGCTATAAGCGGTTTTATTAATACTTACTGTTGTTTTCGCACCATCAGTGCGAATACTGACACAGTAGAAAAAGTCTTAGAATTATGATAGAGATAATAATTGTTCATGGGAACCCCTCTTCCTCCCAGAATCTGTGGAGCACACTTTGAGAAACATTGCTATGGACCATTGGCAAGAGGTCTGTTCAGCCACTTCTAATTGTTATCTTCTGAGCACTCCTAGAGCATTATTATGGCCCAGAGGAGGAACCTGTCCATTTTTCAGACTGGTTGAAAAGTGAAAGTGAAAGTCACTCAGTCATGTCTGACTCTTTGCGACCCACCAGAATACTAGAGTCAGTAGCCAGTCGTTTCTCCAGGGGATCTTCCCAACCCAGGGATCAAACCCTGATCTCCTGCATTGCAGGCGCATTCTTTACCAGCTGAGCTATCAAGGAATTCCTTTCAGACTGGTTACAAAAAGAAAAAATTTTTTCTCTTTAAGAAAGTATTTTTCCTAATATTAGATTTAGCATTCAAAGGATCCCTTTTTCCTTTGCAATTTTATAAACTTTGATCTCTACACAGTTTTCCAGGCACATATCTATTGGGTAAAGTGAAGCATACCTTGATGAATTATGATTCTAGCCAACTAGATAGATAAGCCAAGCTGGCCTTGTTAGAAAGATGTTTACTTCCTAATCTCACGGAAGTTTAAATATCTGCTAAGTATCCCCAGACTGGATTGTAGTTTGGTATATTCCACCTGTGCTAATCACCGTAGCTTTTCACAACATTTTTCCCTGCCTTATTGGGTTTGGCTTTCGGCAGATTCTGTCTGGCTCTGAGATGAAGGTATTGTAATGCTCATAGGTTTCCTAGGCCAAATAATTCTAGACTTGAATCTCAGTGGTGTACTCTGACCTCTCTGAGCCTCAGTTTTCCTGTCAATAAAGTGGAGATGATACTGAAGCTTACCTTGTTTTGTGTACCAATTCGTTGGTGAATCTATTATTGTGGATTCAAGGAGACTATGTGCAAACACACTTAACGCCAAGTCTGGTGTATGAAAAGCACTCCTACATGGGGGT